CCCAGAAATATCTAATTTCCTGGCATTTCCCTTGGCATGTGCATATATGTTACTCATTTTATCTATTAATGAGATATTAATAATTGCCTTTCAGTAGATTGATCGTACACATCAGGCTCACCCTGTCTACTATTTATACAAAGAGCTGTTTCTGAAGCTGACTTTGTCTAACTGCTAGGAAGGAAGAATGATCCTCCCTAAATCTTACAGATGGGAAAAAAAAAATCAAATAATAAGATTATAATTTATATTTCTTTAGACATCCTGTAATGCATACATGATAAAAATTGTTGGTAATATGTAAACTATAATTCTAGAAAAACATATCCTAAATTGTGAACCACCTGCGGAAATAAACAGTGAATATGGTAGTACAAAAAACTTATCTGTGGAACACTGGAATGACAAAATGAGAATAAAATAAAATTTCCAGGATGGTAACTTCAGTTTTGAAGAACGGGAATAAAGTTATATGGAGGCATATATCTTTTGAAGAACAAAATATTAGGGTTCTATGCAAATCTGGCTTTAAATCAACTTTCTACATGTCACTCTAGCCTGATTTAAGGTATTACTAAAAGACCTAAGCATCTCTTCAGCAATAACTGATACTTGGTACTATTCAATTGCAATACATTTTATCTTTAGTACATTATAGCTAGTAGCTATTGGGAATAGTCACAAAGGTAGTAAGTGTTGTAGTGTGAAATATGGAAAAGACATTCCTCTAATTATAATGGGAAAAAAAATCTTGTGAAATAAGGCAACATTTAAATGTAGAAAAATTTCTGGAAACAAATGCTTCCTAATACTCCCTGGACACTGGATCATTGCTGGACTCATCACCATCACATAAATGACACAATGAACAGGAAACTAGATTACTAGGTATGAACAAAATCTAACTTACAAAGGTGCAGTTGATCAGATGTCAGCAATCTTAAGTCAAACCAATTCCTTTTCTTGTTTTGTTTTAAATCTGAGTTTCCTGAGGACACACAACTTCTGTAGTCATTTTAATTCAATAGTCTCCGTTAACTTTTAACCCCTGTCCAATTTCAGGCAAATCTAACAAAAAGGCAGGGGCCTCAAAGACATTATGATTCTACAAGCCTCTTAACAATTACTGGTTGAAGACCTGCTAAATGTAAGAGACCTGCTAAAAGAAAATCAGAGAAAATTCCACTTTATTAATCTCATTTGGTCAATCAGCAGGCAGATGATAGCTCTGGACTAGTCACCACAGAATGCCGGGACAGTGTTACAGTGAATGGCAGTGGTGCGGTGAGAGGATGCTGATGGTTACGTATGGGGATCATAGGAACTGGATGTACTATGTGGAACTAGGGATTCAGAAAGGACCATATTGGAGTATAAATTCCAAAAGAAAATGAACAGCAGATACCTTTGCACTTAATTAGCTAATGAGTTATATTAACAAGGCTGGGCAGTAGACACCTTACTATCACAGAACAGAGTTAATGTCTACTTCTGGGATGTGAGCTTACTTTTTCAGAACTAACTGGAGTATCTTCATACAACATTCCTATTTAAACATGGCTGTGTATTTTTCATACAATGCCATTGTAAAAAGTGAGGTCAAACTAATAATGCATATACATAATTTCACATTATGTCTATATACTGCCATGAAACAACCAAGCCTCAACAATCAAGCTTTATAAAAAAAATGTTTTAAGCCATGGCTTGTATTTAAATTCTGTTTTATCTTAAAGAACTGAGCTAGATGTATCAAATAACAAAATCTACAAATGGGGTATCAGGGAAACAATTTCCTTGTAAGATTAGACTCTACACACAATAACTAAAGATCTCCCACACACTGTCCAGAGTGTAATCGTTAGCACTTGATGTACAAAACATGTCAATGGAAGCATCTGCCTAGTGTGATGATCTTGATGCAGTCAGAATCTATTCATCCTAACCAAAGCAAAACATGCAGAATCTATTCATCCTAAACAAGACCAGAGAGAATTAATGAAAGAAAACTATACAGAAAATTCTGATGTAACTCAAGGCTGGTAACAGTGTCATCAGTAGATGGAACATTTTCTATCAGATTACTGAAATAAACTTATGACTATGAAATTAGGGCCCTTAGCCATCAACCAAGTGGATCCATCAGTGGTAAACCTAACAAGAACTGAGAGATGCTGATTATTGAAAAGCAAAAATCTTCCTATGCAGAGCATTGTCTGTCAGCTTACATTAAATAGATAGTTCATTTATAACTGGAATCTCTAAAGAAAGGAAATTTGTGGTGATGAAGAAAAATAAATCAGTATTGTACAAGATGCACTGAAGTAATTGATAAGCAAAATGTATTTGAGGTTTCTTTTTTCTGCTGAATTCATAACCCCTTGCCTCCTCCTGAGACATACTACTGTGTTTTGCAAACAGAATTTTTCAGCTATATTTCCTATTCCAGAGATTATTATTACTGTGTATTTCAGAACTGCAACCATCAGACTGATAAAATTATGCAGTAATGTTTCATATTCTTCCTCCTAGACTTTTTGATATTTTGGAAAACTAGCTTTTCTGTTAGCAATTTATTTGAAAGTAAGTCAGCTATATCTAGAGTGAGTACAGGAAAAAACACAGTAAATTCATTTAAGCATATATATTTACAACCTCTGTTTCTAAGTTTTAAACAGATTTTTAAAGTGTTTCTTTAAGGGGGACAAATCTTGCATACCTTAATCCATATACATCTCTAATAAACACTGATCTACCAAAGCCAGAAAGGTGAGATCTTTTAAATATATACAATAAAGCATATTTCTAAATAAAACAAATAATAAAAACATCAATCAGATGTGCTTCCCAGCATGTTCTCAAGTAAAGTACTCATATAGTTAGAGTCAGATTCAAAACTCACAAGTATGGTAACGGAGAAAAGGAAACTAACCAAAAGAAAGTCTGTGGTTTAGCTGAGGCTCAGCCTGTCCCAAGGGTTATACACTTGATATATGCAGTTTTGGTTAGCACTTCCCTTGAATTCAATTCTGAATGTGACAAGCCTCAGTAAGTCTCATTTAGCATTCCGTCTAATAAGGAAATTGAAGAGAAATTTAACTGAAAATCATGCCATACAAAGAAAAGGGAATAAAAATAAACAATGACATTATTTCTACTCTGGTGTAATACTTATGTATTATTGTAATGGTTCAGGATGCTAAGATGGCCTGATTTTAGACTGTCTATACTTTTATTCTGTATTTCTAACATATAGTTACCATTCTTTTGCAAAGGGTTTAAATTATATTTGTTGAAAAAGAGTAAAAAAGCAATGTTGCAGTCATAACTGTGGTATAGGAATCCTGTGTAAGGAAAGATAAAGCAAATGTTTGTACTCTACAACACTTGTTCTAGGATTAATATTTTCTGTTAAAAATGATACATGTTAAAATACATTTTTTTATTTTTCTTTGTTAAATAATGAGTTTTCATTAAATGTGAAATGATGTTTTGTAGTTTTCAATGTTATTTTTTGCAATTATTAGAATCCCTTAAAATGTATAGAATGTAACCTGAATGTTTTATATTTCTTCCATTTCTGAAAAAATATTAATACAGATAAAGAAATATATGTGCCAACATACAGTTCTGGGTGCCAGTCAGTTTAATATCCAAAATCTTCCATTAAAAATAAAACATGCCGATTCTTGAAACCTTGTATGTAGGGATCCATTTGTCTCTACGTTTGCAGGAAACTTAGGACTTTTTTTTTACTTTAACTATTTCAGATGTTATAGCTGTTCAAAGATATGCCTTACCTTTTGCCTTTCCAATAGTTAGGAAGTATTAAATAGTGTGATGGATGCAATGACAATTCTGTGGAACATAAATCCAAACACTTTATTTAAGGCTGTGTTTCAAAGGCTTTATGTTTTCATGTGTTTCTGAGGCACAGAAAAAATATTCATTTCTGCAACACTTTTAATGAGCCTTCTTACTGCTTGATCAGATTTTACATAATGCGTATTGCCAGCAAGCTTTGTTTTTCCCCGGAGCTTTGTGATCTATATTATTGTTTATAAATCTTCTCATTCAAACAGCTTAATGCATTTCCTGGTGGATGTACCTATAGCTACCAGCCCATTATGTTCTACAAGGGCTCACGCAATGTCTGAGTCCAGATTACAGTATTCTTATTGGCCTTGAGCCAATCTGCAAAGGAAAGCAGGTTTAGCTATGCAATTACATTCCAGAAGACTTTTAAATAAATTGTCAACTGAATTCAGAATTCCTACAACTCTCCAGCTACTGTGTGAGATCAATGTGCACCCAATGAGTTGGATAGAAATGAAATTCCTGTTAGTGGTCATATTAAGATATTCCAAGAGTATTCTAGCATCTACTTTTCATATATGCATGTGAGAACATTCAGTTTGACACCAACATTGACAATTCATTTAACTAGGATAAAAGCAGACTCCAGCGTAGCTCAACAACAGTGAGAAACAGCTTAGTTTTTGACCGTCTGTAATGTAAAAAGTGATCTTAAAAGTTCACACAGGCATAGAGAAAGAAACAGAAAAAAAAAAATTGATAGATGTGTATGGAAGCAGCCAAAGGCATGCTGGATTCAGTCTTTTAATGTGTTACCTTTTGTGGTTGTCTACCATGGGAACAACGTAATTCACTTGTGGGATCAAAATCACATAGTTATTGAAATACACATTCAAAAAGGGCTGGAGAATAACCCACATATGACAAGAGTATTCCTTTGTCACCCATCTCACTCTTATTCAGTGTTTAATTGAAAGAAATCTTCGTTTCAATATTCTAGCTACGCCATCTCTGTGCTTCATCTGAGAATACTGGAAAACTGAAAAATATTGGTGAATCCAAACAATTCTCAAGCTGTCTTCTCTCCATGAATTTGCAGACTAATTGGATTTCACTAATAGTTTCTTACTTCACTGAAAATCAACACGATTTTCAAATCAGTTATATGCTGAAATTGTACATACTCTGAGGAAACCTGGGTGGATTGTCGTTGACATCAGTGAGTGTGATA